TCTGGTATAACTCCCTAAGCTGCAGAAAAATGTATCAGTGAGATATTAGGGAGTTCTAAGCTTAATAATGGAGCTCTGTGCATTGTATTTTAAGGCTCACAAGCAGGTATTGTATTTGAAATAAGCAAGCATTGTTTAACCAAAGGTACCTGTGCTCATAGTGGTTGGATAGAACTACTGTCAATGTGCTTTTGCTTTGTGTGATTTGTCAAAAAACTTTTAAAGTGAGTTGTAACATTAAATTCTTTGTTTGCTGCCTGGGATGTGAGCTGATGGCATCTTCCCATTGTCATAACCATGGAATGAGACTGATGCTGGTGAATACAACAGCTCAAGGCACGTTCCCAGCAGTCCCATCCTGATTTGTGATTTGTACACAGCCCCCAGCTGGTGATAAACCCAACCTCCCTCCAAGAGGGCACAACAAGGAGACCACCCTATGGCCACCCCATTGCCAGGCAGCCCTCATTTACCCACCTCAGAGACCAAAAGCAGCTCTTCAGCCCATGGAGGGGATGTTTCTGTGCAAACACAGCCTCCAGGAAAGCCTGGGTAAATGCCTCTTTATTTTGCTCACAGCAGGCAGTGCAATTTGTCTCTAATGAGCACTAAGGCTCTCTGCTATCACTCAGAGCAGTCATTCTGGACTCTCTGCTTGCATGAAGGAGGCTCAGGGGGGCTCTTGTGGCTCTGCACAGCTTCTGACATGAGGGGACAGCCAGGGGGGTCAGGCTCTGCTCCCAGAGAACAGGGACAGGAGGAGAGGGAATGGGCTCAGCCTGCATTAGGTTTGGATATTAGGAAAAAATTCTTCATGGAATGAGTGCTGAGCTCCTGAGCTTTGTTTGGATCACTGCAGGCACTGCCATATAGCCCCTGAGCAGAGCCAGCTCCTAAAGGGCTCTGGGGCAGCACTAAACCTAAACTAAAACTAGTGACCCTAAACCCTCTGCAGCCCCCTGAGCCAGTCCTGAGCTGCTTTCTGACCTGGTGCAGCTTTGTGCCAAGCAAGGAGAGGCAGCAAGGAGAGCAGAGAAACCTTCCTGGGCACGTGTGGGTGACAGGGACGCCCTGTGCAGGTCACCTCTGAGGTTTGTCCCCCCTCAGTCCCCAGCACCCCGTGGTCACTGCAGGGCTGAGGCTCTTCTGGCAGCAGCTGTGCTTTGTCGGCAGCCCTGAAGCTCAAATTCAAATAAATAAAAAAGTGCTTCAAATTCAGAGAAATAAAGAAGCGCTTCTCAAAGCTGAAGGCAGAACAGAAGAGCTGCTACCTGGCATCTGGACAAGGAGAGAGGATGGGGAGCTGCATCCTATCCCCAGAGTGCTCCTGACTCACTCTGTGCCTGGCGTGAGTCACTTCCCAAGGTCTCTCCTTCCAATGTCCCCTCTGCTCTGCAGGGAAAGGAAATGCTCCTGAAAGCTCTTCCAAGCCCCATTCATTATTGAATGCCTTTAAAAGTGTGACTGCAGGGGCAGAAACACCTTGTGGGCACAGATCCTTCTCCCTGGGCAGAAAACACCCCGGGGTTGGAGCTTCAAGTGACAGGAGGACTGGCTGAGCTGTGGAGAACAGCTGGGAGGAAGGTGGATTCCTGTTCAGAGCATCCCTGTGGCAATGAGGCAGTGCTGGCAGCTTCCCAGCATTTATTGGAGGCACACAGCCCCCATTCTGTGTCTCCTTGACAGTTTTATTTCCAGGGCAGTGGATCTGGCCCCAGCTTTCAGCAGCTGCTCCTCCTGAGCCTGGATTAAAGAGCTGTTTAATACCCTACACTTTTCACCCCCTAAAAGTGCTTATATGCAGTGACCCTGTCACCTCAGCATCTCACTTTGAATTAAAATGCTGAGCTTTGTAAAAACCTCATTGAAAAGCATTTCCCCAACTCTGTTTTGGGCTGGAATGCCTTTCCACTCAGATATCCATGTCCACCCCAGCAGCCCTGCTCTGGTTCCTGCAGGTCTGAGAGAACTGGTGGCATCAGGACACCTCCTCTTCAAAGGACTCAGCCCACCCTGACTCAGAATTTCCCTCTTTTGTCACTCTTTTTATCCCAAATTCTTTGTGTCTACTGAAACTTTTAGCAGTTTCATCTTAACCCTGGATTGCTGAGCTCAGTGTTGTGAAGTGTGTGTGGCCTTGGCCTGAGTGCCCAAACACCCCTGAGGTGGCCCTTGTGAGGGTGAAGCCCTCTCTGAGCTCCTCCTTTGCCACCAGCTCCCCCAAGGATGTGCAGGGATGAATTTCCCCCTCAGATTATCCAGCAGCACAAGATCCAGGGCTGTGGGAAAGGTGGAACTCATTGCACCTCCCCTCCATCCTGCCAGCCCCAATTGTAAGAACTTCAGAGAATTGGTTGGAGATTGTTTGACAAGATCTGCTTTTTTAACCCCACGCTGACAGGTGTTAATTACCCTGTAGTCCTTAATTTCCTCATCATTTTCCAGCATCTTTCCAGGGCAATTGGGAGCAGAGCTAATCCTTATCTTGGGAAACATTCCTGGTTTTTTTTTTGCTGGGGGAAGAGTGGCAGAGCTGCTGGGAGGATGTGACTGATGGAGGGGCCACTCTCACGTCAGTAGCACATCTGGGGTCTCCCAGCGGTTTTCCTGCATTTTGTCTTTCCAGGAATGGGCACAGTCCTGTCTTTTTCCATGTGTGAGCAACCTGAGCCTTCCCAGGTACAGGAATTGCTGCTTTGCTGCTGGAATGGCACTGCTGTGACCAGGGGACACCAGGCCCCTGCTGTAGAAGTGACAATGGACAAAAATCCAGTTTAATTGTTCCCTAGGTGCCTCCCATCATTCCCATCCTTCCAGATTAGTGTCCATCAGCTGCTCCTGTTCTCTGCTGCCCCTGGGCCCCAAGTGAGGCTCTTGCAGGGTGACAGGACCTACCCAGCCTGTCCCCCTGCTCAGACCTGCCCAGCCTGTCCCTCTGCTCAGACCTGCCCTGTGCCCCATTCCCAGGGAGGGATCACAGAATTAACCAGGCTGGAAAAGACCTTTGAGGTCATCAAGTCCAACCTCTGACCAAACACCTTCTCATCAACAGAACCATGGCTCTGGCTCAGCCTGGGTCATTCCACCACAGCACCCAGGGCACTGGTGCTGGCCAGGGGCTCCTCCTGTCCTGGCACAGCCACCAAAGTGTCCCTCTGGTCACACTTGGGATATCCCACCACAGCACCCAGGGCACTGGTGCTGGCCAGGGGCTCCTCCTGTCCTGGCACAGCCACCAAAGTGTCCCTCTGGTCACACTTGGGATGTCCTACCCTAGGCCAAGACCACCACAGCACCTGGGGCCACCACCAGAGAGGCTGAGGAGGTCACCAGTGAGGCCAGGGAAGGTGAATTGAGTGAGCCAAACACTGAGCTCTGCACCCGAGTGCTGCCATAATTAACACAGGGGTTGGGAGCAGTGGGATTTGCTGTCTTTTGAGGTAGGAATCCATCCCAGCTTCGTCTCTGTCACCACTTGCTCTCAACACCACAAATCCTGACGTTCTCCTCAATAACTTTTATGGCAAGTGGAGAAATTAGCTAATTCCCTGTTGCTCCATCCCCACTTATTAGTGCTACACAGAACTGGGTGATTATGAATAGAACTGCCAGGCAAAACGAAACTTCTGCCTGAAAAATGCATTTTAATTAACTCTGCTGGGTCCACGTGCTCCTTGGGAAGTGCTGATTGGGCCTGACTGGCTGAGCTGTGCTCTCACAGGACACCACAAGCCTGGCCAAAGGGCTACAAAAGGACCTTGCCTTCCCTCTGGACCCACCCTGGAAGATGAGGGTGGGGTGCTGCTCCTCAAAGCTGGTTTGATCTACTAAAGTTTGACCTACTAAAGTTTGATCTACTTAAATTTGGTCTACTAAAGCTGAGCAGCAAAGTAACGGAAAGATACAGAGTTATTGAATTACAGACTGGGCTGGGTTGGAGGTGACATGAAGGATTATCCAGTGCCAGCCCTGACATCTTCTGCCATCCCAGGGTGCTCCCAGCCCCAATGTCCAGAATTCTTTGGGTTGGAAGAGATCTTAAAGATCATCCTTTTCCACCCCCTGTTTTCCACCTCCCACTGTCCCAGGTGCTCCCAGCCCTGTCCAACCTGGCCTTGGGCACTGTCAGGGATCCAGGGGCAGCGTCAGCTGCTCTGGGCACCCTGAGCCAGGGCCTGCCCATCCTCACAGGGAGGAATTCCTTCCCAAAATCCATCTAAACCCAGTCTCTCTGTGTGAAACCATTTCCTGTGCCCTGTCACTCCATCCCTTGTAAAGAGTCTCTCACCACTTTCCCTGTTGGCTCCACTCAGGCAGCCCCAGCCAGCTCATCCTGAAACTTTTATTTTTTCCAGGCTGGGCAATCCCAATGTGTCAAAAACTGAAAAAAGAGCTTGGGGCTTGGTGATTGAGTGGTAGAGAGGTGACAACCTCTGCCCCACACAAGGCAGCAATGGGAATGATCCCTGGCACACCAGCAATGTGAAATATGAAATTATACATTTCCTTCACAAATGTAAATGTTTTTTCCTTCAAGGATAAAACCCTCACCACATTTCCCAGCTGGACAGAGTAGTGAGGAAGCCCAGGTTCAGAGCTGGTAGAAATAAAAATTCAGTTTGACCCCTCTGGGGTGGCAATGGGGGCTTGCTCAGCCAGACCCACCCTGAGATCCTTGGAGCTTTCACATCCTGCAAGGGTAATGGGGAAAATCCTGTGTGTGCTCCACTGCCAAGGGCAAAGCAAAGCCCCTGTGGGAGCTTCACCACCGTGGGACATTCCACAGGTTCCAACTTTGCCATTCAGGGCTTTCTAGATGGAGAAAATGTCATGGTTTATGGAGGCAAACTTAAGGAACGGCAAGTTTAAAATAAAATCTTCCAGGCTTGTGAGACAAAATTGTCTCACAGCAAATGGCAATGTCTCTCTGCTCCCCCTGCTTCTTCCTGGCAAGATGATGAAATTCAGTAAATAAATACATAAAAATAATGAGTCTTCCAGACCTTGCAGCATTCACTTTAATAGATGCTATTTAACTACACACAGAATCACAGGTATCTACCTTTCAAACGCTGGTTACAAAGATTGGGAAGGCTGCCAAGAAAATGGCTTTTATTTCCCCCCAATAGATATCAAAAAGAAACAATTTATATGTTGAAATTGCCTTTATTTTTTAATCCATAAATAGTTGTTACTGACAAAAGTGGAAAAATCCTTAAGACTCTAAATTTTACTAAACTGATAATATTTTTGTTTACAGTACATACAGAATGTGCTTTTACAGGTAAGTATAACAACAAGAATAATACAGAGAAAAACAGTCAAATACTGCTCATCTTGAAGCTTGTTTAATGGTTAACCAAGAGTCTGTGCAAAGTTACAGATACAAATGTACTTCCTCTTCAGTACTACTGTATAATAAACATGGAATCCATAAACTGGGCTAAAGCACAAAAATATCCACTTAACCCCTCTTAGGAAATATTGTCCCCCGAACTAAAAATGTTACAGTAAGAAGTGTCGTTCTCAGAGCCAAGAAATTCTTGCTACAAAAATGTCTCAGGGGTTTGCGGGCGGCGGAGCAGAGGGTGAAGGGAGAGGCTCCTCCTGGCAACAGGGTGGGATGGAGAGATCCAGGGGTGGGATGGAGACCTCCAGGGATGGGAGAGACCTCCTGGTGTAGGAGAGACCTTCAGAAGTGGGATGGAGAGCTCCAGGGATGGGAGAGACCTCCTGGAATGGGGAGAGACTTCCAGGGAAAGAAAGAGACCTTCTGGGGTGGGATGGAGACCTCCCAGGATGGGAGAGACCTCCTGGGATGAGGAGAGACATCCTGGGATGGGGAGAGATTTCCAGGGATGGGGAAAGACTTTCCAGGATGGGGAGAGACCTCCCGGGGTGGGGAGAGACCTCCAGGGATGGGAGAGACCTCCCAGGATGGGGAGAGACCTCTGGGGATGGGAGAGATCTCCTGGAATGGGGAGAAACCTCCTGGGGTGGGGAGAAACCTCCCAGAGTGGGATGGAGACCTCCAGGGATGGGGAGACACTTTCAGGGATAGGGAGAGACCTCCCAGGATGGGAGAGACCTCCAGAGACAGAGAGACCTCCAGGGAGCGAGACCTCTTTGGATGGAGACCTCCTGGCAATGGAGAGAGATCTCCTGGGATGGAGACCTTCAGGGATGGAGATTTGGCCTGGAGAGAGACCTCCTGGCATGGAGATTCCTGGGATGGAGAAAGACCTCCCAGGATGGAGAGAGACCTTCTAGGATGGAGACCTGCAAGGATGGAGATCTCCTGGGACGGAGAGAGATCTCCTGGCATGGAGACCTCTCAGGATGGAGACCTCCTGGCATGGAGGCCTCCCGGACATGGTGTGGCCATGGTGGAGAGCCAGGGTGTGGGAGCAGAGATCTCTCTCAGATTAACACCGACACACTCAGACAGCTCCGTCCAGCTCTCCCCTGGCCTTGGGTGAAGCACATTTGGCTTGTCCCAGCTGGGATTTGGGCTCAGGAGGGCACCTCTCACCATGGAGAGCTGGGAATGATCCCTGCTCCCACCTGCCTGTGGACACACAGCACAGGAGTGGCTGTTCCCCAAGGAGCAGCCCCAACATGGGCTTATTGCTAACAACACTCACTACAAAATATTTAAGCCCCTTTCTCACACCTTTCCCTTCTTTCACTCAGCTGAAACACACTGAATACCAAATCTGTTTGTGCCAAAGGTGTTTCAGCAGAGCCCCTCCTTCCAGGTTAAGCAGTAAATCTGAAACTAAACTAAGACAAGCTATTTCTCCGTGAGCTGAACATGGCAAATTGATCACAAATAGAACACACATCTCAAACACAATTAAAGTTATCCTGTTCCATGGAGATTTTGTTTGTGGTGGTGGAAGAAGATGAGGATGTCTTCCCAGCTACCAGGAGCTACATAAACCTGATGCCAAGCTCCTGCAGATTCCTGGTGGGAATGCTTCTGACAGAACAGAAATGTGCATGTGGGAAGCTCAGGTTCCTGGGAGCAGCTTTGCAGCCAGCCAGGCTCAGCAGACAGAAATTAAATCCAGGCCAGGGAAGGAGGGCTTACTCCCGGACAACTGTCTCTGTTTCTTCCCACCCACCCCCATCCCCAAGTAACAGATCATCATTTATAAAAGGAACATTAAAACGTTGAAAAATATTTCTTTTTTTTTTTTTTTTTCCTTAAAACACGATTCAGTGGCATTAGAAGGCTTTTTATGACAAAGTTTCTGTTCCGTGTGGTGCTGTGTGTGGTTCATTAAAAATAGTTTTCCACATTTCAAAGTATGATTCAACACAGTTTGGAAGCTTCAGTTGGTACAGGGTCAGTCAGAACGTGTTGATTGCATTTTACAGTATGTATGTATATATATATATATATGTATTTGTATTTATATACACACACACAGAGAATTGTATAAAACCCAGTGCAGCCATCCAGGACATGTTGCTGCTCAGGGAATGCAAATAATTATCAGCTTGTAGGAAATACTATAAATTTTCTACATCCCCCTTCCCCAGTCCCTGCACATGCACTCTGGGAACTGGACACTCCCCAGGTGTTTGCTTGCACCTGTGGGTGGAGAAAATACAGATCAATTCTTCAGAGTATATGAGATTAATCAAGGCAGGTTATATCTCACTGTACAGAGGAATGTGGCTGCTTCCTGCTTTTCTCCTGAGTGCAGGGTGTTGTGGTGACTCAGACACGAGGAGAAGGAAGCAGGAGGGTCCCAGGGCAGGGAGCAGCATCCCTTGGAGCTGCAGCCTGCCAGGACCCTGCCCAGAGGAGAGCAGTGGGAACCTGGGCATTCCCAGCCCAGCACTCTCCTCCTGGGCAGAGAGGATGTGGCACATCACACACCACGCGTCAGGACAATGACAAACAAGAGTAACAAAAACACTTTGCTGCTCTACAGTTTCTGTTGTGAGAGGATCTCAGAGCACTTCACAGACCTTGTGGTCTGAGCCCTCCATTGGACTTTGGACAATGGAAATTCCCATTATCATCACATGGGAATGAAGTGCTGGGGACCAGGCTGTGGGTGATGACACTCGGTCCCAGACCAAGTGTTCTTTCAGTGACAAATTCTCAGAGGGAGGAATAAGGGAGAAAAATGACCTAAGGACACCTGTGTGTGCTGAAATGCCACTGCCCCATCCACCAGCACACAGCATACAGAGTGAGCTGTGGGAACACATGGTGGTATCCAGGGCACGAGGAAATTTGCTGAAAATTTTCTGTGGTGGTGGCAGAGTCCCTGAAGAGATTTGGCCTAAAAAGGCTCCCTGTGGGACACATCTGCTTGAAGCAGTTGAGGGGGTGGAAAAAAGACAAGGAAATGAGGCTGAGATTTCTCTGGAGGATTCTTGCCCAGGTAAGACACAAAAAAGCAGAGGGCCTGTGATATTTGTTAGCCACAACAGGAGAAGACACAGAGGTCAAATGGCCCAGCTCAGCATCAGCACGGGCTGCTTGAATGAAAAATTTCCAAATTTGCATCTGGTCCAGCAACTTCTTAGCTCACAAATGGAACATTGAGATGAGGACTAGAGCTTGAGACAGATAGCTATGGACATGGAGAGAGAGGAGTGTTCACCTACCCACAGCCTCCCACGTCACCTCTGCTCCAGCTCTGCCACCACAGCTCCTGGAGACTCTACAGTGCACTCTGCTCTCCCACAGTGTTCAGATCTCCCTGGCTTTGCCTGGGCCAAGGGAAAGTGGAAGAGCCCCAGAACCTCATCAGGGGCTGCCTCCCCATCAGCCGTGAGAGCTTCTCTTCTCTTCACACGAGTCCCACCCTCTGGCCTGCGGGAAGGTCAGCAGGGCAAGTTTTCACAGGGATTGTCTTCTGGGAGGAGAAATCCAGGGGTTGAGCCGAGGAGCTTGGAGGTAGTCAGGGGAGAGTAGTGTCCATCAAAGGAGGGGGCAGGAGGTGAGCTGTGAGCCTGTTCTCTCCCATCCCTCCCATGCCATGGACTGCCACCCTGATCCACAGACAGTTCTGGTCGTTGCCCAGAGTGATTTTGCCCAAGGCTGCAGGATCTGACCCTGGACACTATTATTTATTTATTTAATTTATTCCCTCCCAGCTCAGTTTCCGTCAAACAAAGCCCCAGTAACCTCTGACTGATGGAGTCCTTCTCAGCACAGTCTCCATCAGATGGGGCAGGATAAAGCTCTGGAAATAGGACCAGCTCCAGGACAGCCTGGGAAGGAGAAAGGCCACCTGGACACCCCACTGAGGCCCACCTGTGTGTCCCACTGGGGTAAGGACATGCTCCTCCTACCTGCCCTGCACCAGACAGCGCTGGTGCTTCACCAGAGCCTCCACAGGAGACTCACGCCCTAAATCATTGTTTGCTACAGGACTTGGCACAGTTGGGCTGGGAATGTCATTAAGGCCAGGAGGTGGGAGGTATTTGAGGGGAGGGAGGAGGGCAGAGCAAGGTTTAGGATGCCTAATGAAGAGTTGTTTGGGAAAAGAGTCGGTGTGGGGACGTGGGACATGAAGAGAAGTGCAAGGGATGTGCTCACAGCGTGAAGTCAGACATCACCTCACCCCGAGGAAGGAGCGTGCCTGCCCTGACCCGTGGGGTGTGTGTGCATGTGCTGGGGCCTCGAGGGCACACTGGGGACAGTGTCCAGCACCCACAGCTCCAGCACCAGCTCTGGCTGGCCTTCAAACCCTCTGAGACCCTTTCCTGGCTGCAGAAGTGTGTTCTGGTGGGAGTCGGTTCTACAGAGTTTGGTAGGAACACCAATCAAAGGGGGGGGAAAGAAAATGAAAAGAAAAATCAAACCCAAATCTAACAAAAAAATAAAGCAAAGCCCAATCTGTCTGGAAAGCCAAAGGTAAAACCCTCTCAAATTCTGGACCCACGAGTCTATGTTTTAAAGATTTTACAAATATACAGTATCTAATTAGCATTATATCAGATATACAACATGCCCATTAATTATAATTATGCTGGATATATAATTTATATGCATGAAATGTAACTGTCTTCATGGTTAGGATTGGGACTCAGTGGAATTGGAATTTGGAAGGTTTTCTTGGGAGGCCATTGCAGGGAGAGAGAACCACGGAAAGTTACCGACCTGCTTTTCGGTAAACAGACACCCTCAGCCTTGTGCCTCTGCTAAGGGCTGGAAAAAGATTTGCTACATATGGATTCTAGGCTGTGAATGGGAGGAGAAAATGCTCAGAAACAGGGGAACTGGGCCATGGAAAATGCTATAGGGAAAAGGAACTTGCGGGGAGAATCCAGGCTCAGTGAGAGGCGCGGCAGCCTCGGTGGGGTCGGGACCTGCCCCAGCACAGGTCAGCAGTGTGGAGCTGAACGGGTTCTGCTGCTTCAGGTTCAGCAGTGGCGAGAAGCTGGAGGAAGAGAAACCCTCTTCCTCCTTCCTATTTACATGTTGGAGACACCAAGATACTAGAATGAGTGGAGAAAAGGGTCTAACAAGCGTTTCAGCATATTTGTGCTTATTGAACACGTCAACCCCACTACTTCCTACACTGAGAGAGCAGGCGATTTGTAGGCACTAGTATGTTTTTTTATCTTATGAGTATATTTAGTATAAACTAAAACTTTATTTCTCAGCCAGGCTATTCTTGTCCCTAGATCTGCCAGTCCCGAAGGAAAGTCTGCCCTTGAATTTGCTCCAAGGGTGACAGAGAACAGATGTGTGGTTGCTGATGGGTGTGGAGCAGCCTGGGGCTGGCCCCAGCAGCCAGGACTTCCCTACTTGCTACATAAAGGCCAAACATGAGGACCAAGAANTTAATTGCTCCTTTTGTATCAGTATGGCCCGGCCTAAAGCTAACTTAATAGCCCTTGTCCCCGGACAGTGAAAGGAGGATTGGGGGGGGGGGGGGGGGGCTGCATTTCCTCCTCCCTGTCTCAGGCTGCTTCTCCTTGGAGCAACTGAAAAGTCCTGAATTCATGGAAACTATGGGGTAATGCAGGTGAGCCCTTGGAAGGAGCCATCGATTACTATGGCTTTCTTTGACAGAAACTGATGCACACCAGGAAATTCCCTCTGTCATCCCTCACTAGTGTCTGACTGCCGCTTCAGTTCTTCCTGTGTCACTGATGGAAGGGTGGCTTTAAAAACAACGTGGGTGGGACTGCCAGAGAAGTCTTTGCAGACACTGAGTTAGTAGAGGTTATCTTGGCCTATAAGGCCACTGCAGAACGGGGTGCTGTGGCCACCCCAGTCCTTAAGGAGTATCTACAATGCACTGGGTCGTGTCAAACAGTCACCTCGGTTTTGCTGGCGGTGCGGTAGTGGTGGTGGTGCCCGGGGATGTAATGCAGCTGCTCCACCGTGTTGTGCCGGCGCGAGGCGAACGCTTGGCGCTTGGCCGAGGTCGGGTTCATACCCAAGGTGTTGTACAAGTTATTTGAGGCACTGGGATGGGAGTGCAGTTTTGACATCCTGTAGCGATCCAAGACCGGTGTTGACACAAAGACATCCGTGTGTGACAGCGCCCTGGACATGGACTGCTCGGGGTAGGCCGAGCGCTCCGGGGACAGCAGCGGGTCCTGGGAGTGCAGGCGCTCTGCCGACAGCAGCTGCTCGTCCGACAGGATCCGCTCGTAGGACATGCTGAACTCCTCGGGCATGATCCTCTCCGGGGACAGCACCCTGTCCTGGGACATGGCCCTGATGGGGCGGCGCGGCCTGTCCCGCTGGTTGCCCTGCTGGGACATTTTGATGACGTTGATGGGCAGCGTGCCCCGGGCCGCCAGGTCGGGCAGGTGTCTCCTCCTCATGTAGTACTCGTCAGCCTCTTTGTCAGCTGTGGGGAGGGAAATGAGAGGTTAAAAATGGCAGAGTGCTGGCCCAGGCCCTGCAGCTGCTCCTGGTGACTCCTGAGGGAACATCTGCCACAGGCACGGACAGCGCTGTGCGGGTGGTGTCACTGAGGGCTTGTGGCACACAGAGGAGTGTGAAATGTGTGGGGAGAGTGCAATTCCCTGGGCAGTGCACCCCACACTCCTCCATGTGGAAGCCAGGCCATGGTAGTACACAATTCACATGAGTTATGGAGAAATTCCCAAATGTCACCTTCTCAAATTGTCACATTCTTCGCATCTCACCCTGGGAAAGAACAGGGCAGGTGACACAAGCAGACATCAAAACAAAGATCCCCATTTGAGAACATGCCCATGTCACCTCTGGCCTTAGATGAGGCTATTCCCTGGAGCCCATGAGTGACTTCATCACATTTTAATTACCTTGTTTAAATATTTGTAAATGTGGTCACAAACCAGGTTTGCTGGTCTCTGAGACACTGAATCACCTGCCTAAAGTTTCGTTTCCCATTTTTATAATCGACCTTGATTGATATGAGAGAATTTATTCCATGGAATATTTCTTGCTCTGTTTGCTGCTGCTGTATCTTAAACAAGCTCTCTGCTGCTCTGAAATGCAGCACACACCCCCCACACCCCCACTTTCCTTTTTTTGGCTTTGAGAAGAATGCTGTGGGCTCAGATAGGATGTTGGCTACTGCAGCTGTATCGTGATAGATCACTGGGATCCTACAACCATCAGTCTGTGGGTTTTATTTACCACATTGCCTGGGAGTTAATTGGCTGCTGGTCCCATGAGGCAAAGCTCATGTGGTGGGTGCTGACAACATTCCAGAGCTCTGCTCACAAAACACCAGCTCAGCCAAAGCCTGCACCACTCCAGAGCTCTGCTCACAAAACACCAGTCCAGCCAAACCCTGCACCACCCTGTGCTGGACCATATCCCTCACTTATTTCCTCATCCTCTGTCCCACACCTTCCCTTCCCTTCCCTGCTGCCAGGCCCCTGTGCAGAGCCCAGATCCCTGAGGAGGTGGGCTTGGTTCCCTCACACCCAGGAGTAGGAGCTGAGAACATCTGTGCCACCAGTGCTGCTGCCAAGCCCTTCCTCCCAGCCCACACAGCCCCAAGGCGTGAGGTCACCCCCAGATCCCCTGTGCTGCCTTCCTGTCTGTGGGATCTGCTCTCCAGAGCTCACACTGCAGCAATGGATCTTTATTTTTCACCACCCAACAGCCCTCAGAAGGATGTCTCACTGCAAATGTCAGGCAGCAGCTCTCCTGGCCTCGAGCTCTCCTGTCTTTAAAATCACCTTCTAGGAAGCCTGAGGAGGTGGGGGAATTCCATATGGCCCCAGGAGCTGGAAGCATTTTTATTCTGTGTTTTGGGGCTGGTTGGAAATGCCAGGCTGGGTGTGCAGAGGCAATGCTGAGGCTGATGCAGAGTGGGAATGAGGCAATTAGCACCCTGGCACTTGGCCTCTGCTCTGGATGAGAGGAGTTCCACAGGATTTGCCCATGTGACTCTAAATAGATGTAATTAAAGCACAGAACATCCCAAATGGAGATGTGCTTGGATGCTCACACCTGGCTCTGGTAATTGCCAGCAGGAGCTAAACCAGCTTATGTGAGGTTTACAGCTCTGAGGCTGCTGGAGAGGTGGCACAATCAGCTGGAAGGGCTTTGAAGGTGTTCCTTGGACTGAAAATGCAGCATGGGCTACACTTTAAAATGTTTTATCCATTAGGAGCATTAAAAAATCCCTTTTCCTTCCCTCTCCCACCCAGTGACCCTTGTACAGCTACCATAGCTGAACCTTTCAAGGAGCTGATTTAATTTCAAAGTTGTTTCCAAGCTCCCTCAGGCCTCCGGTGATGCTGAGGAGGAGGAGGAACATTTCCAGGTGTGGAAAAGCTGCTCATCTCCATCTCAGAGGAGTCAGAGGAGGAGGAACAGCCGTGTGTCACACCCAACAAGCTGCTCCAGGCAGCAGCAGACAGGCATTTTCCAGGCTGCTGGCTCTGAGAGGGGCGTCAGCCTGAGCCAGGGATGGGGAACAGAGCCTGGCAGAAATGCTGTTGGATTAGGTTCTTTTTTGACTTAGAGATGGGGTAACTGAGAGAAATTTTAAAAACTTTTATTTTATTTTTAGTCTCATGTGAAGGGTGAGACAATACAAATTTTATAATTCACCCTATCACAATTAGAAGTTAAATATTTCTTAATTACAATACATTATAAGCCTTTCTTGGCCCACCATACTATACTGTAATTTTAATGTAAATGCCTTAAAGCCAATCACCTAAAATTGCCCCTCGTGGGTCCTACTTCAATGCATCTTTCACAGTTCTATTTCTTTGAAGTACCCAATCTTATTTGCAAGGCCACCCTTTGAAACTTGCTTCTAGCTCCATTTCTACAAATGAATTTTTACAAATTAATTTCCCATGTTATGTGCAGCACCACACACATGCCTCGTGAAGGGAAAGCACTGGAACCTCAGAATTCTGCACCCAGGGACAGCAAGAAACAAACCCTGGGAGAGCAGAACTCCAGGGGCTTTCCAGGGCTGGGAAATGTGGAGGGTTGGTGGCACAGCTGGTAAAAACCAAAGTTTCTCTGGGAAACGAAATCTTGGAACCATAAAATGGTTTGGGGGAAGGAATCCTAAAGATGATCCAGTTGAAACCCCTGCCATGGGCAGGGACATGTTCCAGGCTGATTGATGCCAACCTTTGAAACTTGCTTCTAGCTCCATTTCTACAAATGAATTTCTAAAAATTCATTTCCCATGTTATGTGCAGTCCCACACAAGGGAGAGCTCAGCACAGCCCTGGAACCTCAGAATTCTGCACCCAGGAACAGCAGAAGAGCAAACCCAGCTGTAGGCATGGGAGAGCAGAGCTCCAGGGGTGGGAAATGTGGAGGGCTGGGTGCACAGCTGGCCAAAATCAAAGTTTCTCTAGGAAATGAAATCTTGGAACCATAAAATGGTTTGGGGGAAGGAATCCTAAAGATGATCCAGCTGAAACCCATTCCAGGCTGATTGATGCCATCCTCATGCCACCAGCAGGGACACATCACACCCTGGCACAGCTGGCACTGATCACCCTGCCCTTGTCCTGTCATTGATGCTCATTGGAGAAGGGACATTGACAATTTTATCCAAAATAAAACTCCAGTCCAGTGTGCTTCTCCATCAAGGATGTACTTAAAAATTATTAAAAAAAATAAAAACAAATAAAAAAAGAATGTCTTAAGAGGATTCCAAAAAAGCAGAAATTGTGAGCAGAGAAAAAGGAATCACTCGTGAATTGCTTGTCAGGATTTTTTTCTTTTTTTTAATCATACTTCTGGATCTTTCCTTGTGTTTTTCAGACATTTGGAACTGGAATTACTAGAAGTTATGCTTTCTGCAAACTCCCTGGGCTTTTTTAATTGGTTTTGTTGGGATTTTTCTGCCCTTTCTTTCTTGCTTTGGCAGTTTCTAGAACATTACTCAGAGCTGGTCTTGGTCTCACCACACTTCAGAATGTTTGAGTGCTTCAACTGCCTTGGCCTCAGGCTAAGCTGTTTTGCCCTCAAACAGTTTTTTGGCAGATTTTTTTGGGTTTTTTTTCTCATTTGGAGGGAGATCCCCAAATAAATGCTCTTACACATTCCACCTCAATTCCAGATGCCTCTGCAGACAGGCAGAGCAGAGCTTCTCTGGCACCGGAATTACAGAAATGAGGTTTACAGAAATTCATTTGTGGTGCTCTGGGAAGGGAACATGGAGCAGAGCAGCCAAATTCAGTTTTTCTTCCTTCTTATATAGCATGGTGAGAAGAGATGCACGTGTGTGTGCATGTGAGGCCGTCACAATAATCCCTCTCATTTTTTAAAGGTAATTTTCCCCAGCTTTCTTCCTCTGCAGCTCCAGCAGGTTTCCTCTCTGGGCTTGTCTCTCCTTGTTTTAATTGGCTTTAACATTTCCAAGCTGCCCAGTCACTCGTGATGATTCTCCAGCCAGCACCAAGTGGTTTAATATGCCTGAAAACAGGAGCTGCCTCCCTCCCTGACCTTTCTCACTTTGCTAAGAAGAGCAATTCCCTGGAGCCCTGGGCAGGATGGAATTAATCTGGCTGCTCTTGCTCAGCCCCATCCTCACACCCTCCCCTGGCTGCTCATTCCCAGGGCACAGAGGGTGCCAGACCCTCAGAGACCCCCAAAACCCCCCAGGGACCCCCCAAATGGGGTTCTGTTCTCTTTGCCCTGAAGGAAGGGCAAGGGAGATAAAAAATCCTGGTCTTTCACCATCTGTCTCTGCTAATTGGAGAAAAAAAGTAATTTTTCCATGCCTGGCAAGCCAGACAAACAAGTGTTTGAAATATTTGAAATACAGATTTAAAATATATCTATATATAGATATATTTTTTAAAATCTATATTTCAAATTTATATATATATATATATATAAATATATATTTCAATCTATATTAAATATATATAAATCTATATTTCAAGTTTTTATATATAAATTTGAAATATAGATTTATATATATTTCAAATATATATAGGTTTATATATATTTATATATAAAAAATTGAAATATATATATTATATATATATTTCAAATTTATATATATAAATATGAATAAATATATATTTATATATATAAATATACATTTCGATCTATATTAAATATATATATAAATCTATATTTCAAATTTTTATTTATATATAAATTTGTTATATAAATTAAAAAATATCTAATGCTTTGTTTTTTGCTCAAATAGAAGTATTTGTTAATTATCTCTTCAGTTACTTTTATATTTTATTTTTTCTAACTGTGACAGGAAGTCCATTGGGAAGAAACAATTTTAAATTTAAAAAATGAATGCCAAATAAGTAATTTTCGAACTCCAGCTTTTAGACATCACACTTTTTTGTGTTTCCTTCATGCAGAATAAGAACATTATCTTGCTGGCACTTTGCAAGGGAGGCTGGGGAGTTGGAGCCTCTTTTCCCTTGGCTCTGGAGTAGAGCAGCTGCAGGAAAGTGATTCAGAGATTCTGGAGGTGCTGGGTGTGCTCAGTGCCAGTGGGAACAGGGAGGGCTGGGCACTGCCAGGGCTGAAACTCCCTGGATGCTCAGGAACAGAGTGGGGCAGTGGGGTTGGATCTGCCAGGTGCTGGGCAGGAGGCTGGGCTGGCACACAGCAAAAACCACAGGTACCCTCCCAGAAGTGAAATTACCTCCACACCCATCCCTGCTGGGGAGTGCCAGCCAAAGGAATCCCCACTGGAGATGCCAACCCAGGAGTGCCCAGCTGAGGGAAGGGGTTATTCCTTACAAACAGAACCGGGGCAAGCAAAGGAGCTGACACTTACTGAGTCTCTTGAGAGATGAGTATTTACTGGGGTTGGTCTTGACAGCAGACTCGTAGGAGGGCGGGAGGTGGGAGAGGTTCTGGAAGGAGCGGGAGAAGGACAGGTCGTAGGGCTCGGTGGCTGAAGTCAGGATGTTGTTCATTCGTGGCTTGTCTGCAAAAAGAAAAAAAAACAGAGAAAGGCAGGTCTGGAGTGTGCCCCGAGGGGATGGAGAGAGGCTGGCTGTGCCCACAGGCTCCAGCAGGGAGCAGAGCTGGAGCTGAGCCTCAGCCACAGGGCATGATTCACACTGGCACCAGCAGATCCAGGAGAAACGGATCCTGTGCTGCTGCTTCCTGTCACACACAGCAGTGATGGGGACAGCAAAGTGCTGCCTCACATCCCCTGGGGCTGCCCAGAGGGATGGGCTGAGCTGGCACCCACCCTGGGTATGCAGGGCTGTGCCAGGCAGCATCACTCACCTTCACCTCCCCAGTATGCCCTCCCCATCCTCAGGGACACAGAACCAGTCTGGGGGCTCCTAAACTGGGGCATCATGAGCCAGATCTTTAACTCTTAAACCAGCATCACTCACCTTCACCACTCTGTGTGCCCTCCCCATCCCCAGGGACACAGAACCAGTCTGGGGGTTCCTTAACTGGGGCTGAGGATGGTCCAGCTGCCCTCTCTGTGTGCCAGAGTCCTCAGGGATGCTCTGAGCCTGGAGGCTCTGGGGCTCTGTGAAGTCTCACACCTCCTTGCACTCAGGGCTGGGAGCTGGGCACCTCTGGGGGCACTCAGAGGGCAGGACAATGTGTTGGGGATGTTTCTGAGGAATGAAATACCCATTCCTGAGGGGTGCAGGATGCCATTCTACTCATGTCCATTTTGTTGGTCACTGAGGTTTCCAGGCAGGGTCCCAGTGCCCTCTGTCACACTTTCTCATGCTGAGGCCACTGAGCCCAGATGCTGAAATTGAGTCCAGACTATCTGCAGGGGTTTGAAACCTTGTTCCTTCACTACAAGCTGGAAAATGATCTTTAATCAGCCCAGCCAAGGCACAGGGACCTGTAGAACTGCAGTTACAACCCCCAGATGTTCAGATATTAAAATGGGCAGAGAGGAAAGGATTTAACAAGGCACGAACTTGAATTTTTGGAAGCAGAGCCAGAACAGAGCAGTGGGCTCTGTCAGACCCCACAGCAGTGATGGAATCAGCAGGTGAGGCAAAAGGTGTTCACTTCAGGTATGGTCTGCAAATGAAATCAAAAGGGTGAATTCTCTGCAGGAGCAGCAGAATGCCCAAGCTTGGGTTCACACATTCCTCTTGTACATCCCTAAAGTGTCCCCATGAAGAGCAATGCATGATCAGGGTGCAGTCACCTGCCCCAAGCCCTCTTGCCTCCTCTGCACCAGGGGCTGGTTGGGATAAAAGCTCAGATTCTGCCCAAAGGTAACAGATCAGCAGGGAATTACCACCTGGAAAACTGCTGGCTTTGTGCAGTGCCCAAACACTTGCTAACTTCTCCCATTTCCAGGAAAAAAAACTCAAAATAAAATCCACCCAGGCAGAGTGCAGACATTTCACAGACATTTTTCTAGACCTGACTCATACATAAGTGAATCTATTTCCTGCAAGAAACATCTGTGAGAGCGAGGCCAGTCCTGCCCTGCTGCCTCTCTGCTGTGTGCAGCCCTGCTTGTTGGACAGCAGAACCTTTTCCTCCTCCCTGAATTTTTCATTCCAGCGTGTCCTCGATGCCCCTGCAGCCTGGAAACGAACCCAGCAGTTCATCTGAGTGTCTGCTCAGGGATCCAGAGCTGCTGCCACAACTTTTCTCCCACTGGGGCTTCCCCTGGATGTTCCAAACCTCCTGTCAGCCACCCTCAGCACTGCACAGTGTCACAGACAGGCTGAGGCAGTCCTGTAATTACTGAATTACTCTCACAGTAATTCTGTAAGAAAGAAAGTAATTCAGTGGTGAAAAATTCCTCCTCCCAATGCAATAACCATAAATCTCATAAATCTCCTCTCCCCTTTCTCCTGCTCCTCTCTGCTCTCCTGGAAGGGGGTTCTGGTGTGGCAGGAAGGGCACAGACCTGAGGGATCTGGAGTGGCTCCTCTTAGAGACCAGCATTTCCTTGCTGATGATTTCCATCTATTTTATTTGTGGAGTGCCCTGATGAAGGAAGGAATGTTGCATCTGACTCCATGTTCTCAGAAGGCTAATTCTTTATTTTATTATTCTATATTATATTAAAGAATGCTATACTAAACTATACTAAAGAATACAGAAAGGATACTTACAGAAGGATAAGAAGATATTAATGAAAACTCATGATTCTCTCCAACACAGCTGGGCCCTGATTGGCCAATAAGTCAAAAATATTCACATGAAACCAATCAAGCAATCCCCTGTTGGTAAAAAAATCTCCAAGCACATTCCACATGAGCACAACATGGGAGAAGCAAATGAGATAATTATTGTTTTCAATATTCAATTTTTAAATTTTTCTCTGAGGCTTCTCAGCTTCCCAGGAGCGAAATCCTGGGAGAAGGGATTTTTACAGAAAATATGAATGTGACATCCATCCATGTCTAACAGCCTGCCTGCAGGATCAGGGAGCGTGTGGCATTCATCAGGGGGCTGGAAACAATTGATTTGATGTTATCCAGCAAACAGAGGCTGGATCAGCACTGAAACCATGTCCCCACTCCTCCTCCTGCTCGTGTGGCAAGGACCCCGGGCTGAGATCTCTTTGCAAATTGCTCAGGCAGAACGTGGAGCTAATCTCCATTTCCATGGGGGTTTGGGCATGCTGCAGTGAGCCCAGGCACAGGCACAGAGCTGTGCTGGGTGCCAGAGCTCAGCATTAATTGACTGCTTGCATGAGGTGTGTGAAATTAAGTGCCACACATTTATCTGATGGGCTGCTGCAGGATCACTTCATCTTCTCGCTGACTTTCCCATCCAGGCACTCAGGAGCAGGCTGGAATGATTCTGGCAAATGAGAAGTCACCTTGAAATCCACTGCCCATCACTCAGCCAAACAAGGGATAAACTGAAATGACCAAAGCTAATTTCAGATGTCTTTTGCATAATGTAGCTTGAGGGGGAGATCAGAGAACTGAGGTGCTCCAGTAAGGAGAAATATCTCGTGCAATTTATATTCTGAGGCCAGTTCAGCACCAGTTTCTCAGCAGGTTTTCAATCCCGCAATAAATTTGTCTCTGGTCTCTCTCCTCTTTGTTTGTTGTGCTTGTGGGCTCCTATGGAAGCTGCAGGTCAGAATCAATAATCAGGATGCAAATCAAAGCTCTGCCATTCCCTGCAGGGCAGCTGAGGCTGTGCACTGTGCTCCCCAGCATCCCCATCACCCCAGCTGGAGATTACACTGGAAAACGAGCTCTGTGCATGGCTACTGGTTTTATCTTTAAAGTCAGGATTGGTACTCATTCTCCTCAGCATCTCTGTGCCATTTGGTGCCCATTTTCTGGCACACCACCCCTCCTGGCACAGGAGCTGGCACAGGAGCTGGCACAGGAGCTGGCACAGGAGTAGGCAGGAGGTGAAGCTCACCCTTCATTCTTCCTGTATATAAAAAGGTCAATCTGAACAACACAGTGATTCTTCCTATGCCTCCTTCTGCCCTTACATTCTGCAAGAATTACCATTTTGTTTTTGTAGTCAAGCTCCCAAAACCTCACTGCACTGAGGATTTCTTTGTGCCTTATGGACATAATAGTTGAATCAGAAAGTGTATTTTTTAAAATGTGTTTGGTAATCTTTTTTATATAGTGATTTCAGGAGCAACAAACAGAACACAGGAACCTCCCCCAGCCTGGGGACAGCCCCAGCTTGGTACAGCCAGTGCTGGGCTGTACAATTCTGCTGTACAATTCTGTGCAAGGCTGTACAATTCTGCTGTACAATTCTGTGCAAGGCTGTACAATTCTGATGTACAATTCTGTAGGAATTTCGGCATTTCCTCACCCTGCAGGCAGCCCTGGTTGCACAGGGATGCACAGCCCAGCCCAGAGCTCCCCAGGCAGGGAGAGCCCCGGGAAAGGAACTCAGGAAGGGAGCAGGGAGCTCTGGGGAGCTTTGAATTCTCCTCCTGCAGCCCCACCAGTCCAGGTGGGTGCATTTCCCCTGCTCACACCTTGCACTGGGCAGGGGAAGTGGCTGCCTGCGCTCCTACCACACCTGATGGTGCTTTAGGATTTCAGCTTTTATATTCTTCAAATCCTCTAGGGCATCAGTGCATAACTCTAAACTCCATATAAAGTGTAGTTAACTGCCTTCACATCTTGGTCAGACAGAACAATCCCTCTGGGCCTGAGATCCAAGGACACACCACAGCCTCACACCTAGAAAATTATAAACAAAAGTGAATTGTGGGGAGAAAACTGAGGAATATGACTTCATTACCTGAAGCTGTAATTGGACAATTAACTCCTGATATGCAAATAGACCAAAATTACATAAAACTCATGACCATCACCCATCCTGGGTGCAGCTTCTGTGAGGCTTTGGCTGCCCAAGGTGTGTGTCTATGTGCCTTTATTAAACACCCGCTTTATCCTCTTGATCTTGCCCAGCCTCTGCTCTAGGCAGCCACCCCAATGTGGTCCAAACAGGACAATGGCTTTGGTGGCAGCACCTGGGTGTCACCTGCAGCCCTGCTGGGCCTGGGGGTGGCACTGGAGGTGGATTCACACAAATTCACTTGCTCTGCTAACTCCTGTGCTCTGTCACCTACCAGGGAAGCACAGCCCCTCTGGGCTGAGGCATAGTTCATTTCTCTGCCAGTGCTTTGCAACCTCTCTACAAGCTCAGGGCTCAGAGAAGTTCCAAGATTTCCAGATTTCTTGTCACATCTTGCTCTGCCCGTCTTGTTGGAACACACTTTCAAAGTATGTTTACATGAGGCACAAAACCTTTCATGTTCAAGGACGGGAGCAGATGATACCAAAATTTAAAAAAAAATGTGAGTTGATGGCAAAGTTTTGAACAAAGCTCAAGTGGCAAAAGGGATGTGCTGCAGATTTGCATTTGAGTCTGCACATATGTTGTGCGAATTCTGCAAGACATTCCAACAGATGCCTTTTAAAACATTCACCCAGGGAAAGCAAACAATGTCACCTAGGAAAGGCTGCTCCAAGCCAGCCT